TCCTCCTTAGGAACATCACTCTGAACACAAATGTGGGGTTCTCTCCAGAGGACATTATCTCTGTGGCTTTTGTGAGGAATTGCCTGGCTATTTCTGCTCTTGTCGTTATCACTGGCTTTTAAAGATTTTAAAGATTTGCTTAGGATGCAAAATAACCTAGCTTTAGCCGATGCAGAACAGGTAAGGAACTCAGCCCCAAAGATGGTAGTGACATCTTCACCATAGCCATTGCCAGAGCTGGGAATGACTTGCTTTGTGGAGCAAGGATACCAAGGCCTGTCTTCGCTGACCTGCTCTCTCTAGGGATTTCAGCCATTTCTGACAACATCGTTAATTACTGTATATGGAACACCTGTAAAAGTATTTAACACATTTTTATTTATTTATTTTTAAAGATTTTTATTTATTTACTCATGAGAGACACACAGAGAGAGGCAGAGACATAAGCAGAGGGAGAAACAGGTTCCCTGTGGGGAGCCTGATGTGGGACTCAAACCCAGGACCCTGGAGTCACAACCTGAGCCAAAAGCAGATGCTCAACCACTGAGCCACTAAAGCATCCCTAACACATATTTTTAAATCTGTCTTACAACAGCCTCAGGACACAGGAATTACTTTTATTCTCATCTTACTGATGAAGAAAAAGACTTGGAATGAGATTAGGTCACAAAGCTATTAAGTGGTGGACCTGGATTTGAACCCAGGTTGCTCTGACTGCAAAGCTCCCTTAGAGGCCCATCTTTTTTGCTAGTCACATGTGGTCAGAGGGGCTAGGTCATCCTTAGTAGCCAACTCTGGCTGACATACTGTGTCACTGTCAATGTTTAGGAGGTCTGGAGAGGTGTGGATCAAGCTGAAGCATGGATTGACAGTGAGGTGTTTGTTCACTAGTGTTTACTAGTGACCCCACCACAATCCTGTCCCTGAAGCTCCAACTACCTCTCTGACCACCCTCCCTGGCACTTTTGGCCTCGTCTCCCCCCCCCCCCTTTTTTTTTAAGATTTATTTATTTATTTTAGAGAGTGAGAGAGAGAGAGAGAGAGAGCATAAGGGTAGGGGCAGAGGGAGAGAGAAACTCAGGCAGACTCCATGCTGAGCCCTGGCATGGGGCTCAAACTCATGACCCTGAAATCAGGACCTGAGCCAAAACCAAGAGTTGGGACGCTTAATCGACTGTGCCACCCAGGTACCTCTCTGCCCTCTTCTTTGTGGGGGAAGGGAAGAGAAACCAATGTTCACTGAACCCTTACTATGAGCCAGTCACAGAGGCAGGCACTTTACACTGCTTCCTTATTTCATCTTCACAAAACCCACTTTCTAGAGGGTATGGATCTCACTGAGGGCCCCAGAGCTACTAAGTGGCAGTACTGGGATTCACGAGCAAGCAGGATGTGAGCCGTTTGTGCATCCACAGCATTCCCTGGACTGTGGTTTCCTCATGCACAGGATGCTATGTCACCCATCATACTGTGGGCCTTAATAAATAAACATTTACCGCATGACAGCACTGAAATGGGGGTTCTTTGGCAAACTCTTATTCCCATCTGGTCTCTTCTCTCAACTGTAAACTACAGAAAATAACACTTGCCAATCCTGATTCCCAGGGATGAGGGGGAAAAAGGGAGGTAATACTGGCTCTAAACTTAGCAACAATAAATAGATGGAACACTCAATGCTGTAGAGTGGAAAAGGAGGGCGGGACACTCTGAGATTGCTGAGTAGCTCTTAGGGAAGCAACAGTAGCCATAAAATGCATCATCTTCTGGCCCTAGCCCTTCCATCTTCAGAAACATAAGAGCAATGGGCTGATTTAAAGAAAGGAAGAGAAAAAAAAAAAAAAGCCCACAAATCCATGCTGAGACTTTTAATGATGCACTCTATGCCCCAAACTGGAAACAACTCAAATGCCTAGCTTTAGGGAAGTAGCTCAGCAGTTTAGTGCCGCCTTCGGCCCAGGGCAGGATCCTGAAGACCTGGGATCGAGTCCCACGTTGGGCTCCCTGCATGGAGCCTGCTTCTCCCTCTGCCTATGCCTCTACCTCTCTGTCTCTCTGTTTCTCATGAATAAATAAATAAAATCTTTAAAGGAAAAAAAAAGGGAAGCGTTAGGTAAACTATGGTACTTCAGTACATACAATGCACCATTATGTTGCCATTTAAACTAACAAATATGCAGGCAAAACTCCACCTAAAATAATATCCATCAAAGAAACCAAAACCTAAATAGTATGCAAACAGTGATCATCATAATCTTGTAAATTGTGTAAACTAGACACAATAGCGACATTTGGTATTTATTTTGTTATGTATTTGTTACTTACTGTTTATTTCTATTGTAAAGATAGCTAAATAGTCAATAAAAAAGAAAAAGCAGAGGAGATAATAGCTGCAAGCATTTGTTCTCAACAAGGAGAAATCCAAGAAATGTGCTGAGGGACCTTTTGATGCCCAGCCTGGGAAGGCTTCCAACACTCAGGGGACAGACTAGGCTGGGTTTTACCCACTGCATGGACCAGCAAGGACCAGCCACCCTTAACTTACCATCTTCTGTGCCCCTGCAAGAAGGAATGGGGGCACAAATGCCCCCAAGGCAAGCTTTCTACTCACTAGGCTCCCCGAAGGCACGGAATACCCAAACTGGGAAAAATGCCTCAAGGCTCAGGAATCCATGCAGATATCCACACACAGGGAGCCCCAAGAGCAGGGGGAAAAAAAGAGATCTTGCTGTCTGAATTAGGGAACTCACACCTGTTCCCTCTGCCAACACTCATGCACATTCAGAGGAGAAAGAGGCATGGCATCGTCCTCTCTCTCCTTTCCTGTTCTAAGGAGCAGAGAGTAGCTCCCAGGAGACCCTTTCCCTACCAGCCCTCCCTCCACCCCAGCACCTACTTGTCTAAGAAGGAGGGTGGGAAGAAGGAACTGCAATAGCAGTAATAACAGCTAACCCTTACTGAGCATGTCCTAATTGCCAGGCACCGTGCTGAATCCTCTGCACGCATGAGCTCATTTAATCCCCACAACAGGGATCCCTGGGTGGCGCAGCGGTTTGGCGCCTGCCTTTGGCCCAGGGCCTGATTCTGGAGACCCAGGATCGACTCCCACGTCGGGCTCCCTGCATGGAGCCTGCTTCTCCCTCTGCCTGTGTCTCTGCCTCTCTGTCTCTCTCTGTGTGACTATCATGAATAAATAAAATCTTAAAAAAAAAAAACCTTTTTAAAAAAAAAATCCCCACAACATTTCTCTGAAGGAGATATTAGCATGATTCCCACTTTACAAATGAGCAAAAGGAAGCTCAGAAATGACCTGGCCGAGCCCTCAGCACAGCAAATCGCAAATTAGAACTCACACCCAGGTCTGTCCTCCAGCAAGAACCTTCCAGGCTCACTTTAAGGGATGGAAGCAAGCCCTGCCTCCACCTCCCCTGGTTCACCTCCACAGTTGAACTTGTATGATGTTATCCACCAGAATAACAGCTTGGGCAGAAACACAGGGGTTTCCAGAGATGACCTGCCCTTCCACCATGACCCGAATAAGCTTTGCACAGAGGTGCTTGAAAGGAACAAGGCCTCTGCAGGGAGTGGCCTGAAGGCCATGCTGCCAGCCAGAGGAGGAGGGGAAGAGCTTGGCAGGGACACCCTGGCTCCTTTGGTCCAGCCTCCACTGAGAGCCCTCCCCCACGGGGGGGGGGGGGCGGAAGAGAAAGCGGTGAGTGCCCACAGTCACTGCCGGCCAGCCCAGAGGAAGCAGGTGCACTGGAATGGCTTCCTGCTGCCACTGCGGTTGCAGACGGGCCTGGGGTTCCTCCTCCAATGGCTGGACCTGCTGGAGGCCTCCCTCCCCTGGGGACACTCGCTGCCCCACTGCGGGGCCCTTTGCCATCTGCCTTGCCATCATCACACACGCCCCCCACCCCCCAAATCTGACCTAGTGCTGGTGGCCTGCGGGCTGGGGATCAGGCGGGGAGGAGGCTAGACCAGGAAGCACGCACCTCTCACAGCGAGGAGATTCTCGGGCCCCACCCCTGGCTACCCACACACACCTCAGCACTGGCGCCAGTTCTGTGGCTGGGATGGGGCAGTCTTGGGGCCCAGGGAGATTCAAATGCTCACAAGCACGACTCAGGCTCTCAGTATACCTCCGTGCTGGGCCAGCCCACACGCTGCCAACTGCTGACATGATGAAAATCTGACCCTCAGTGGCCAGGAGGGGTTGACATGGGTGAGTAACGGAATGACTGAGAGGCAGCTATGTCTCTCCTCACTTGCTTTTTTAAGGAACTTACTTCTCTAGAGTAATCTCTGCTGAAAATGAGACCTACAGACAGGGTATCCCCAAGATGCCATCTGTGCTCCTTCCAAGTGTCTGAGCCACAGAAATGCAGGAGACCATGCTGAGTCCACTCCTGGCCACCCTGACAGCTGGAGGGATGACCCCTGTATAGTGCCTTTTCTCATCTACCAGGAGGAAAAAGGGTGGAGGGCTACCCTGGTAATACGAGCCTTCCGAAGGTCCATGAGGTACTGGGCTTCCAGGCCTTGGAAGAAAAGAGTGTTCCAAGGAATGAGGGCCTCAGGCACCAATGGTCTGTGGGGAAGGCGTGTCACAGCCTGTGGGCAAGCTGATGCAGTCCCATGACACGGAGGTCTAGAAAATGGTGCCCCCTCCAAAACTCCCAAAGTCCCGAGTCAGGCCCAGGAGGTTTTGGGAGGTTGCCTGCACTGAATGATTCTCTCCCCACCAAGAAGCTCAGAGAGGGGCCCCAAGGCAGCGCCCCCTTCACCACCACCTCCTTCAGCCACATCTGGGGAAATAACAAAAAGGCTCCTCCTTTCGTAAATGAGGAACCGGCATGAGGAGCCTGGGACATTTCTGGGGTGGGGGGTGGGGGGGTCACAGGGACACTCACCCGCATGGCCTGGCCTGGAGCAACCCAGAGCAAGGAGTCTCCTCTCCGATGCTCCTCTGTTAGTGGCTCAAAATAGCACAGGCTTCAGCCCCGCCCCTGGTCCCCTCCCTCTCCCCAGGCCCCTCCTGCTGGCAGCCCGACTGCCCAACCCTGGCCAGAGCCAGTCCCAGACAGTGAGTGGCCTCCAGGACTGCGGATACCAGGTATGCCGGGATGGAGAGGGTAACACAGCGTGTGTAGATGGGGGAAGAGGAGGCACGGAGAGTGAGGGGGCAATGGGTGGGGGGCGGGCAGTGTTGGAGGGTCAGGGGCAAGGGACAGGGAGGGTGGGGCTTTCCTACTGACACACACCCCAGCTCCCAAACAGCTGAGCTGATATGGCCCCTAAAAATAGCAGAGGAATTTGAGACCTGCAGCCCCCGGCCCCACAGGCCAGGATTAAGACAAGCACATGCACGTTCTCTCTCTCTCTCTCTCTCTCTCTCTCTCTCTCTCTCTCTCACACACACACACACACACACACACACACACACCATCATGCATGAACACTCAATCACAGCACAGTGTTCTTGAGAACACACAAATCATAAGCTCACCCCAGCCATCTAATTACTGCGGCAGAGGCCAAGGAAACCACTAACGTCACATCCAATCCAATATACAGGGCCCACTGCACGCTGGGCCAGCACGACAGCCATGCAGCCATCCTGGAACGTCTGGCAGGAATAGAGTGAGACCCACACGATCAGTCTGTGGCTGCCTTGCCGGAAATACACTGGGGACATGCAAAGAATCAACTGCACTTTCTGTGTATATACCTCTTGCCCTACACAGCTAGAGACTGACTGCACAGGCACACAGGAGGGTGTGGTGGGTGGGCCTTGGCCCTGCAGAGGAAATTGTGGGTGTCTGGCCAGTGAACAAGGGTTGCCCATGAAAAGCCAGTGCTCCTCATGAAGAGAAGGCCTTGCCTTGCTCTTCAGTTAGTACCAGGGGATGCCCGGACTGGGGCTGGGGACCCCCAAGAGGCTGAAATGGAAGCTGGGGGCAGATGGGGAGGAGCCAAAAGACAGGCCTTTTGAAGCTGTCTCAGAAGCTGTAAGCTCTGCAGAAAAAAGGAAGCTGGCCTGTTTTTTTTCCTCTCCAGGAAAAAAAAAAAAAAAAAAAAGAATGGGGTGAGGTGGTGTTAGGAGGGCTTGAAAAAGAGCTGTCACCAAACCAGTGTCCAACCATGGTGGCTGGAGATCCCCCAGGCCTGTTACCCCAGATAGTCTTATGAGCCCAGTAGGTCTTGTAAACAGTATGACTTTCTCTGTTGAAAGGTTGATAAGCACTGCCTGGGAGGACCAAAGCCCAGCTCTGCCTCTTCCCTACCACACAGGACCATTGGGACGTGGGGTCCCACCTCTGGTTTCTAGGGACTGGTGTGTCGTCCCAGGGAGATCGTCTGGCCCTTCGGGGGCATGTGCTGTGTCAGAGCTCTTCACATCCCCAGGGCTTTCTCGACACACTGGTGCCAACCTTGGCTGCAGCTGAAATCTCTCATGGGACTCCAGAAATACTGATGTCTAAATCCCACCCTTTCCCCCTAGTTTCTGATTTAATTGGTCCGGGAGGGAAGCCTGGGCAGTAGGATTTGTAAAAGCTCCCCCAGGTGATGCTTATAGGTAGCCAAGGCTGAAAACTGTTCAATATGAAGGCAGCAGAGGGGTCCCTTTGTTAAGTCACTGAGTGCCTGAAAGAATGAAGGGATGAAGGACGTAGCTGTGTGATCCCTGGGCCTGTGCCTTAAACGGCCCTCATCTGCAAAATGAGTGTTCTGCACCAGTAACTCTTCTCTATGGTCAGTATGAGACTGGTAAAATCTCAGTGAGTGAAAAGGTTTGGTTCTCAAAGCGTGGTCCCCAAACCAGCAACCCCTCCCCCTTCCAGACCTACTGAATCAGAAATTCTGCATCAGGGCCCCAGGAACCTGTGCTCTAACCAGCCCTTCAGGTGATTCTGAGAACCACTGCTTTGAAGGAATTATTCTTGGTGTCCCGTGGCTGACAGTGAGTCTCCCAGGTCCAGCCCACCGGGTTCAATCGTGGCTTGTCCATGCGGAAAGCTACACAACTGAACCCTGCGCTGTGATTTCTTCACCTGTACAAGGAGGGCAATGAAAGTACCTACCCAGTAGGGTGATTGTAGGCATTAGAGGAATTAGTGCTTGCAAAGCTCTAGGAACAGTGTCTAACACAAAAATTTTCAATAAACTTATCAGAAAAAAAGTTTTCAATAGTTTTAATTATTATCATCTATCTGTGATCATTGTCAGGAGATGGGGGAGAAGAGTAAAGCAAAGCATCACAAGCAAAATTTCCAGGTAACTGAAGACTATCCCCTTTAAGGCACAACATATTTTCTATTTTAAGTGACTTTCTAAATTCTATTACTAACTTATAAATCATAAAAACACACATTTTGTTGGTTCTCTTCTATTTTTTTTTTAAGATTTTATTTATTTATTCATGAGAGACACACACAGAGAGAGGCAGAGACACAGGCAGAGGGAGAAGCAGGCTCCATGCAGGGAGCCCGATGTGGGACTTGATCCTGGGACTCCAGGATCACACCCTGGGCCAAAGGCAGGCACTCAACTGCTGAACCTCCCAGGCGTCCCTGTTGGTTCTCTTCTTAAGTAAAACACTCAGAACCCATCTCAAACATCTCAAACTCCTGAGCTTCCTCTCTTGAACTCCCCTCATTTCCCTCCTCTACAGATGAAAATGAGGGCCCATCATCCCCACTGTGATGACTTTGGACTTCCCAGCCTGGCTCCAGGCCTACCAATGTCCCTCGCCATACTCAACAGGCACCAGCCCCGTCCTAGGTGCTGCAGCCAACCTCGCTCCATGCCCATGTTGGTAAGACCAGATGCCCTGTGTCCGGATTATCTGCTTTTTCATTCTTTTGTCCCCATCAGCTGTCACTCCACCTGTCAGCATGCCTGTCCCCAACAGTCTCACTTCCTTCTAATGAGCAGTTTCTGCCAAAGGCTAGAGAACCAGATAACCGAGCCTGATACAACAAAGTCCAGAGCAGAGCAAGTGGAATACCAGAGAGCTACTCTCCTGTGAGTAAAGGGCCTGGGTTTTCCCCCCAAGACTTGCTGCCCTCTATTTTGGTCACCTGAGGATCTTCTAGGCCCACCTTCCATTCAGCAGTGCTCTGGAAGATGACCAGGGACTGGTGTGTCATCCCAGGGAGATCGTCTGGCCCTTCGGGGGCATGTGCTGTGTCAGAGCTCTTCACATCCCCAGGGCTTTCTCGACACGCTGGTGCCAAGAAAAGTTACTGGTGCACCCCTTATGGGTGACCGAGGTGTCACTTTACTTTCAGAAGCTTGTTCTGAATTATTAGTAACCATGTGTCAATCTACTCTTTTCTATTCAGACAACTAGATCCTGGTCATTCTGTCTCTGAGTTGACTTGTGTTACTGATGGAGATCATCTCAAAGCACTTTCTTCCCTCGGTGACAAGGGCAGACCTCTTCATTCAGAGAAGAAACCTGAGACCTGACAACCCACTCCTTGTCACACAAAGCCACCACCAGTCCCCCTGCTGCCCAAAGGTTGGTGCTGCCTCAGGCCTCAGTAGGTCTTAAGTAAGCCCAACCTATAACCCCAGGGGGCTGGGCAGTCACTCCCACAGCCAACCAGACCACCCCTAGGCCCCTGGGTCTGCCTCCTGGCACTTCCCCTTCCCCTTTCTCCCCTCTTTTCCCCAGCTCCCCTCGTGCTCTCACTTTCTCAGGCAGATATTCCCACAGTCCCCTGCCCTCATCACCACCAATGACTTAGAAATGCTTCTCTCTTCCCAGGGTCTGGGATTGAGACCCATATCGGGCTCCTTGTGGGGAGCCTGCTTTTCCTCTGCCTGTGTCTCTACCTCTCTCCCTCATGAACAAATAAAACCTTAAAAAAAAAAAAAAAAGGAAAAGAAATGCCTCTCTCCCTTGCCCAACTTTCCATCTGTCAAGGTCCACAAGTGTCACCTCCCTCATGAAGTCTTCCCCAGACCCCAAGGCCTGCACAGAGGCATACTGCAAAGAGCACACCTTCGCAGTCAGGCACCCCAGTCCTGGATCTCAGCTCTGCATCTATCTTGCTGCCTGACCTAAGGGAAAGTTACTCAGCTTCTTAGGGTGTCCAATTTTTTTGCCTTATAATACCTATTACTACCTTCTGGGGTTGTTGTGAGAATTTAAAAAAGACAGTATATGTAAAGTACCTGGCATTAGGCCTGGCAAATTGTAGGTAGTGATTAAATTATTATCAAAAACCACAGTCCTGGGCAGCCCCGATGGCCCAGCAGTTTGGCGCCGCCTTCAGCCTGGGGTATGATCCTGGAGACCCGGGATTGAGTCCCATGTCGGGCTCCCTTCATGGAGCCTGCTTCTCCCTCTGCCTATGTCTCTGCCTCTCTCTTTCTCTCTGTGTCTGTCACAAATAAATAAAATCTTAAAAAAAAAATTAAAAAAAACAACAACCAACCAACCACAGTCCTGTCTATACCCAGATATCACCATGTACACATGGTGGTTTTTTATACTCAATATGGCACTTTGCTAGATACAATGGAATGCGCATAGATACTAAATGGGATTAGATTCTAAAGTCAGCCTGTAAGGCAAATGTAAAATATAGCCAAAATTACTCTCGAAAATCCCTTAAATTGCTCACAAAGTATAGCACACATTGTTTTATATATTTTATGTATCTGCAGGAAAGCATAGCATGGACAGTCATGTACAGCCTACAATAAAAAGATATACACAAAATGCAATGTTTAAATTTTTTCTCACACAAACATAAGTGGAATTTATTGAATTTTGATGTGCATGTGCCACAACTACACAGCATAAACTAATGTTTTGAATAGTAATCTATTTGTGATATGTCTAAATCTTATCTCCCTGAACAGGAGGGACCATTTCCTATGTCTTTTAAATCTCATCCCCCTCCCCAGCACTAGACACACAGTAGGTGTTAAGTATCCACTGGATTTAACTAACTGACCTGAAAGGTAACTGTTGTGAGATACATGGTGTTGAACACAATAGGGAAAAAAGAGATATCCAGATAGAGTAACAACCTCGACTACTCTGCGGTGGTGGTGTGTGTGGTTGTTGGTGGTGTGTGTGGTTGTTGGTGGTGTGGGGTGAGTGAAAGGTCCTCTGTTACTGGCACTGGGCCAGGCAGAATGGCTAAGCAGGGGGCCAGGGGTGGGCTACACAGAAGGCTCTGAAGAGTGAAGCCATTCACATATTCAACTAGCAGTTACCGGTAATTCCTCAAGGTGAGCACCAGGGAGAAGCACAAGGCTGGCTTCTTTTTCTGGCACTTCACAACTGGACTGTGAGCTTCTCAAGGAAGAGGCTGTATGTCTGTGGTTCAGTCTGTGTGCTCTGCACCTACCGAGAGCATTGGGTCCTGCTCAGAGGCAGTGCTCCATAGATGGATGAGCGAGTGATTGAAACAAGATGATGTGGACACAGTTCTGACCTCAGCAAACATACAGACCGGAAGAAGAGAAACAAAGCTACCCAAGTAATTAGAATTGGTGTAGGATCTGCTCCATGTTCCAACAGGGTCACTGATAATGTTCTAGGGAAATTCAGAAGCAGAGATCTTTTCCTGCTGGGGAATAAAACAGAGAGCTTATGGGCAGCTTGGGGCTAGGGCCATGAAAAATGGAAGGAAGTGTAATGAGATGAGAAATGAAGGGGATTCCAGGGTAAAGGAGTAAGATAATAGAAGCATGAAACATGAAGCACAAACAATAAGTCTGGATGAAGTGACACAGATAGGTAAACAATGAGAGGCAAAGCTGGGAAGGTAAGTGGGGCCAGATCAAGAATGCCCACGTGTCATAGTGGACAGGTGTGGTTTCAGCTGCCCACAATCCATTCCTCTATTCTCTGATTATAGCACCCCAATTTTTCCCTGGGGACCTACCCCAGCATGTGACTTGAATCTGGCCAACAAGTATGTCATGTCCCCAGGCTACGGGGACTAGTTCATGGAAGGCATATGATCCAATCAGTACCGAGGCCATTGAATGAAACTTTGGATTACTGAAAGAGTCACACTTCTCCCATAAGACCTGAACCTGGTGCTGTGCCATTTTGTCATCGGTTGTCTGAAGACCAAGCCAGTATGGAAGATGAACTGAGAGACAGGAAAGGCCTGGGTTCTAGATGAGGCTGAACTTACAACCAGTTCTACCCCCTGAATGTTTCAGATGTTTGACCCCAAGCATTTCTTCTTTTTAAATCAGGTCAGCTGGGCTCTGTCACTTGCAATTGAAAGGGTTGTACCTGAGGAAGAAAGGGAGGTAAGCAGCCTAAGCACAAAGCAGGCACATTCTGAGCACTAGCCATGAGTCAGGGCTGGAGTCAGGGATTGTGCTGCTTGTTTTCCTCACAAAACTCTGGGAGGTGAATGCTGCAAAAGAGGAATCATGGTCTGGGAAACAGGCTTATAGAGGTTAAATGACGTGCCCGAAACCACATAGATAGTGATTGGCAAGACCAGTTAGGACACTAGTCATTCTGACTCCAGAGCCCTGCTCCTTCCACTCTCCCTCCTGCCTGGAAAACAGTGGGGGTCACAGCAGGCTTCTGGACAATGAAGGGACATGATTAAACCATAGCTTTAGGAATGCTGATCTAACAAAAGGATGCTGGGAAGCAAAAGAGGCTAGAAGCTGAAAGACCACTGAAAGTCAAGGAGATGGCCAGAGGACGGATGGGAGCGGGGTTGGTATCTCCTGTATGCTGATGGTGGGGAAGAGACCGTGGGTGATGCAAGACAGAGACTCAGCAACTATTCGGGGAGGCTGGGAAATGGGCACGGAAGTTGAAGGGTGGGGTTAGGAAGAAGATGTAAAGCCTCCAACGTTTCAAGCTGTCAAGATTTCAAGAGAACAATCTGAAGCCACTATCTAAAACAGGAATGTCAGATGGAGACCGATTTAGAAGATAGCTTGGAAAACACTGAGCCTGGTGATCTACTTGACATCTTAAAAGAATAGCTGACCTTATCTCTCTAGTTCCTCTTTAATTCAAAACTCCTTTAAAAAGAAAGAAAAGGTTTATAAACACTATCCCACAGTGCTTGTATTAGGACTAATTTGCAATGTACAAACTGTCATTAACAGAATTTACGGAAGCTAGGGGACATGCATTGTTTCAATGAGGTGGTGAAAAGGGCAAGCCCAGGTCTGGGTCCAGACACTGCTGCCCTCCAGGCGGTCTCGGCGGCCCGGCTGGGCGGGAGTGGGGGGGGGCCGGGGGGGCCGGGTGGGCCCGGGGCCCAGCCCCAGCCCCGCCTGCGCTTCCAGGCCCAGCCCACCTGCCGGCAGGCGCAGGGGCGGAGCCGGGGAGGGGCGGAGCCGGGGAGGGCCAGCTCCCGCACATGCGCAGTGCGCCCGGAGCTGCAGGGCGCACCCGCCCTGCAGCGCCTCGGCAGCCCGGCAGAGGGCGGCCGCTCCCTTCTCGCCCGCCCTGGCCGCCCGAGCCGCGGGATTTCACCTCAGCGGGGCAGGCGTCCAGGCCACGCCCCCGAGAGGCGTCCCCCGGGAGCTCGAGACTGAGGGGGCTGCGGCGGCAAGATGGCCTCTCGCTTTATCCTGGAAGGGTACGGTCGGGGCGGCCGGGCAGAGCGCGGCGCCGCCTTTGTTTAATCACCGCTCCATCCGCAAGACCCAGAACGGCCCCTGCATGTAGTGGGCACTCAATACGTGCTCACTGATGGAATAAAATGGATGGATGAATGAATGAGTACGTGCATAAACAGAAGACTCCGGGGACGCGACGCTTTAAACCGGTGTGCTGGGGGGCGAGGTCTGGGACCAGCAGTCTAGGAAAGTCCGGGGAGGGGGCAGCCCCGGATCACCACCCTCACTGTCACTGAGGTTAGGTCTCGGCACTCCGCCAGCCCCTGCCTTAGCCCTCCCAAAGCTTTGCTCAGACCCCGGTGACAGAGCCCAGGTGCGTGTGGGCTTGTCCTCTCTGCTAGGACCAGGTCTGTCCCCTCACAGTCGGACCTGGCTGCCTGCAGAGCCCACTGCAGTTAGGTCTGCTGCTCCCCAGACTCTCGGCTTCGGGGGATTTCCTCAGGGTCCCTGGGGATTTCCACATTGCCTCTGCTTTGCCAAGCTCCCACGAGGCCCAAAGCCAAGCGCCTGCCTTGACAAAATCCTCCATACCGCTGCCCAAATCCTACCCAAACTTGGTTCACCCCTGAGTCTACCAAATGTACCACATACACAATATTCCCATCCCCAACCCCCTCTGGCAGACAGAATAAGCATAATGAACTATTGTTCTCTTTTTCACATAAATGACGACTCTTTTCTATTTCCACAGAAGAAAAAAAAGGAAAGCCAGTTTAAGGGTCGGCCACACAGATTTAAATAAAACATCAGGAAGGTCTTCCCGGGTATGAGAGATGGAAACACATGGTGCTTATTCTCAGTGCCAGGGAGGCTGCTTCAGACAAGCCTCAGGTTCCTCCAAACACTGGACACTTGATACATAGTTTGAGGATCTGTGTGATCACCTCTGGAGGCCTTTTTTTTTTAGCCTGTTTCTAGAACCCTTTAAAGTAAAAATAAAGCTCAAATTCAATCTCCATAGAAGTAGGAGGAATGAAGCAAAAGCTTCTTTCCTACCAACCTACCACCTCCACATTACCAGCCTTGGCCAAATCCACTGGGGCATGTGAGCACCTGTGTGTTACAGAGCTGGGCAGAAAACACGCTTGGCAAGGTGGGGAAGCACTGCCCCAGTTGTGGTGGCTCACAGCCAGGGACCTGTTGGCCCAGGGGCATCAGGATTCCAGAGCTGCTGAAGTGTAGAAATTGCCAAAGAGGACAAGCCTTCCTTCCTGAGAGGAAGGAAAAAAATGCCACCATCCCCAGCCTCACCAGGATGGCTGCAAGAGGAGAGAAGCCTTCAAGAGCACCCCACCATTGTTTTCTGAGAACTATCTGAAGCTGCACTGTTCAATGCGGTAGGCCCGAGCCACATGTGGCTACTTAAATTTAAGTTAAATTGAAACAATGGGAATACTTCTGATTAAATTAAAACAAAAAAAATTTTTTTTTTTTTTTTAAGATTCACTCCCTCAGTCATGCCAATCACATTTCAAGTGCTCAAAAGCCACCTGTGGTGGCTAAATGGCTACCAGGTTGGAAAGCAAGGACTGCTGAACATATCTTTTTTTTTTTTTTTTCATGAGAGACATAGAGAGAGAGAGAGAGAGAGAGAGAGGCAGAGACACAGGCAGAGGGAGAAGCAGGCTCCATGCGGGGAATCCCACGTGGGACTCAATCCCAGGTCCCCAGG